GGGTTCCTTAGGTGAGGAAAAAGTAACAATAGCAAACATATATACACCAAATAATAATCAAATAAGCTTTTTTACAGAAAGCGATAAGACGCATTGAGAAATATAAACAAGGCAAATTATTTATGTGTGGTGATTATAACTGCACGTTGGATCCAGAGTTTGATGTTTCAGGAGATGAGACACCAACCATGAGAAAGGCTGCTTTAAGTGCCAGATTAGCAAAATTAATGATAACTCACAATCTATATGATACTTGGAGGGCTAAATACCCTCAACTTAGAGATTATACGTTTTATTCAGCGGCACATTTAAATTACTCAAGGATAGATATGTGTTTGACAGATGCATCTACACTCCAGTCTCTAGTAAAGGTAACCATAGATCCAATAACATGGTCAGACCACGGCCCAGTATGTTCCATATTTGACACTGCATATCAGGCAAGAGGCAAGGGTTCATGGCGCTTGAACGAAGCATTATTAGATAATAAAATGGGAGAAATAGAGATTAGGAATACAATCAATCAGTTTTTCAAAGAAAACATTAATCATGATACATCTATAGCAGTTACATGGTTAGCTCATAAGGCTACAGTGAGGGGAATACTTATAAAACAAGGTGCAATTGCAAAACGAAAATTTGGGGAGGAAAAGGAAAAACTCTTTAAATCTATAGGAGAAATAGAGAAACAATATAAACAAACTTTAAATAATTGTCTACGAAATAAACTCTTTAAACTTAAAAAACAATTAGAAAATTTTGAATTGAAGGTAACGGAACGTAATTTGAGAAAATCCAAATTTAAATATTATACACAGGGTAACAAAGCGGGCAAATTATTGGCATCTCAAATTAAACAGAAGCTAACACAATCAAAAATTCCATATTTGGTAAACCTAAAAGGTGCAAAACTGATAGATCCAAATCAAATTGTTAATGAGTTAGCATTATATTATGAATATCTATATAATTTGAAGGAGGATTCAAATACAACCCAACCTACATTAAATATGATTTCCACTTTTCTAAGAGATGTTGAACTACCCTGCGTGACTCGGGAAGAGGCGGAGATCTTGAACAAACCTTTTACAGAGGAGGAGGTCTGGGAAGCTATAAAAACAACTTCAAAACATAAAGCACCAGGCCCAGACGGGTTTTCTAATTATTATTATTTTAAATTTGCAAAGGAACTGATCCCAAATCTAACAATACTTTTTAACAGCATTTTAGATTCAGGTGAGGTACACCCGGAAATGTTGGAAGCTATTATAATAACACTACCAAAACCAGGAAAGCCACCGACCAGCTGCGTTAATCTAAGACCTATATCTTTACTTAATGTAGACATAAAATTATTTGCAAAAGCAATGGCACTGAAGACTGAAACCACTACTGCCCAAATTGATAGGGGCAGAACAAGCAGGCTTTGTGCCTGGCAGACAGGTGGGGGATAATACCCGTAGATTTATAGATGTACTGGAAATAATGAAAAGACAGAAAACTGAGGGATTATTGCTGGCACTTGACGCGGAAAAGGCGTTTGATCGCCTACATTGGCAATACATGGAGAAGGTGCTAGATAAATTTCAACTCCCAAACAAATTTAAACAAGGCATGCTCTCATTATATACAAATCCAACGGCTAGAGTTATTAATTCAGGTTTTGTGTCTCGTAAATTGCACCTATCTAATGGAACAAGACAGGGATGTCCCCTCTCTCCATTGATTTTCATTATGACCCTTGAACCCCTAGTATACAAGATAAATAAACAAGTTCAAATAACAGGGTTAAATACTCACATAGGACCTCAAAAAGTGGCTTTATTTGCGGACGATGTCCTGATAATACTAACAAATCCAGATAAAACAATAATGCCGCTGATGGATTTATTGAAGGAATATGGTACAGTGTCATATTATAAAATAATATTACTAAAACTCAAGCTTTACCTATTAATATGCAAGAGTCAACTATTCGAAAGATGAATACCCATTCGAATGGAGAAATAAATCTATAAAATATCTTGGTATTCATCTTTCAGTTTCAAAACAGGAAATGATAAAAAATAACCATAGCAAATTATTAAGAGAAGTACAAGATACACTAAAACACTGGGACAAGAGCACCAGATCATGGGTGGGACGGATCAATTCTGTTAAAATGTGTATAGTACCACAGATTTTATTTCTTTTTAGATCAATACCAATAATGATCCCCAAATCAATTATAACAAATTTTCAAAAAACAATAAATGCTCATATTTGGAAACGCAAACCCCCAAGAATATCACTGAATACAATGAGTTGCAAAATGACAGAGGGTGGTATGGGAGTACCGCACATTCAAAAATAATATATAGCTTCCATACTGGCACAAACAGTAGCACTAATAGATACATCTAGTATACCCCTACGGCATGTATTAGAACAATCCATTGTCCCACAATATGAGATATTGGATCTCATATGGACAACACATCGCGCTCATCTTAGAAATTATAATTTCTTATCCACAACACAAATAGCTCTGAGGTTGTGGAGCTACTGGGCCCCTAAACTTCTGGGGAAAGGCAATTATCTTTACTATGGAACTCTGCAAAGTTTAACTTATTACACAAAAGATTTAAATATAACAACATGGAGAAAGAAAGGATTAACAAAAACGCGTCATCTAATAGCAGGCTCAGCTATACATCAATTCCCAGATATACAAATTAAATACGATCTTCACAACAGGGAACTCTATACATATCTCAGAGTGAAACACATTTTAATGAAACTTCAAGTGAAGGAGGTAGAAAATTCTAGGGTGAATGACTTTGGAAGGCTATGCTTGGGGAGTCGACCCCAAGATAAACCTCTATCAATAAGCTACAGAGGAATATTAAATTTAACAAAACCAGATAAATTGCCTTTCATGTTAAATTGGGAGAAGGAGCTAAACAACGAGTGGGAGCCCTTTAAATGGTATAGGGCTATGAGATCAACTAAGGCTGCCACACATAATATACAACACATAGAAGCAACATACAAAATGTGGCTACGGTGGTACATGACGCCACAAAAACTGGCGCAAATATATCCAGAGAATGTGGGGACATGTTGGAGATGTGGGGAAATGGAAGGATCTATGACTCATATATTTTGGCAGTGTAAAAAAATTATTGATGTATGGAAACACATACAACAATTAATTTTTAAAGTTACAAACACATTGATACCCCTGCAACCAGAAATATTCCTACTACACATTATGCCAGAGAGAATATTGCCACAAGAAAAAGTGTTAATTATACATATTTTGATGGCTACAAAAAATGCTATAGCCAGTTTATGGAAAACAAAACAGGTACCATCATTAAGTATAATAAGAGAAAAGATCTCTACTACTAAAATTTATGAGGAAATGGCATATAGGCTAAAAGGCAAACAACACATTTATGAAAAAATTTGGGTGAGGTGGAAATGAAATGAGAGGAAATTAAAAGAAAATAAGGGGAATGAAACAAGCAAAATAGTCTCATTAATACAGATGGTAAATAAAATTTAGGTGGTACAAAACAAATGAAGGAAGAGGGAAGGGAAGAGAGACGAGGGAAAGAGAACGAGAACAGGAAAAAACAAAACCAAAAAAAAAAAAAACAGATTGATATAGACGTTTGATATGGAATTCTATAAATTAAATAAAATTGGAAATGTAGACTTATAAAAGGAAGAATTACTATAATTGTACTTTTTTATTTTTAATTTATATATTTATCTATATATATATATTTTTTTTTTCTTTCTTTTCTTTTTCTTCTTTAGAGAGGGAGGGATAAAAATTTACTTTATACATATCCTGATTCTTGTAATAAATTATCTCAGAGGGAAAAGGAGAAAGAAAAGAAAAAGAAAGGGAGAAAGGAGAAAAAGAGAAAGGAAATGTTTATTGTAAAAAATAATTCAGTGAAAAGATATAAAAAGCTGTGTTACTGAAGCCGAAAACAAGTTAGATGAGATTGTAAAAGATAGTAATAGAATATCTCGAATTGTGAATGGTATCTCTCTATTTCTGTATATTATTTTTTTTATTTTTTTTTATTTCTATTTTTATTTATTTTTATTAATTTTTTCATTTTTTTATTGTTATACTGATGCACAGTGTTGTGTTTTCTCTGTAATTTGAAAAAGTGAAATAAAGATTTAAACATGAAAAAAAAAAGACTTTGGCTCCATGGCGATTAAAATGTATTCGTGTGGTCTGAGCACCATTCGCTTAATAATGTGCGCTCAGACCTGAGCTATCTGGGGATATGTTAAATGTCTGTGTGTTTTGTGTAAAAGGTGACTTTATGTATTTTAAAGTGTTTTACTGTCTTTGTGTCACCATGTGCATAATGGAGTCTTGTCCCTGTCCTGGGAGATAATTGAATTACTTCTCACTTATCTCCAGGGCAGAGGAGAGGAAGCCAGGATGCATTGTGGTAAAAGGTATGTGTATTGGGTTACCTCTCTGGATAAGGGGGAGGGAATCTGTGGGTTGTAACTAATATGTTACTGGATATTTTATACCTCCCTGTGGGCGGTCCTATATTTGCAAGACTGTAATAAAAACCAGGCTGGGTGTGCCAGCACAACAGACCACTGCTTGACCCTCAACACGGAGCCTTGTCTCGTCTTTGGGGGGATTTACTGAATGCTGATAGAGACTGATTGCTAGGAGTGTAAGCCACTTGGATGCTTTTCCTATTCGTCTGGTAGCAGCAATTCGTATGGTTCCTGTTCGTGTGTTTGGAGTGCTATATTGGATGCCATTCGGGAGTTTGGAGCATTCACTTATTGGCGGTTCGTGTGTTTGGTGTTCTGCAGTAGCTGTGCCTGCATCTCTGGAAAGGGGGCCGATCGCCTAAACGGTTTTTACCCCTTTTGTGCAAAACGGTCCGTTACAATTGGTGGCAGCGGCGGGATCGTTCCCACAGACTACAGGACAGCTACAGGCAACACCATTCCGTGGATTTACAATTTGAGGGCAACGCATGTCTGAGTACAGCGACCCTGACAGCAACAGAATGGAACCAGCAGTGTCATACGAGGAGGAGGACCTGGATGGCCGGGATGCATTAAGGAAAGGCATCTGGTACCAGGCCCTGGATAATGTACAATACCAGCGGGGCGAGAGTCTCCCCAGTGAAGAGCAGCGGTTGCAGAAGCAAGTGGCCCTGCGGATGCCCTTCCTGGGAGAGCAGCCCCTGGATGAAAGGGTGAAGGAATTGGAGCACCGGGTATGGCAGGAGATTTGTCTGGACGATGCCTACCAGGCGCTCTGGTGGTATGGGGCACAGTACCTGCCCTGGACAGCCGAGCATGACAAGCCAGAGGGAGAGGAGTTTGATGGTCCTGGCTTGTTATGGGAGGCTTTTTCAGAGCCTGAATTTGGGAGCCCTATAGAAGCCCGGTTCAGTGATCTCTTGGAGTGGAGGGAGAGCAGGTATGACTGGGACGACACTCACGACATTGAGCAAGACCTGGCTCACCTAGCAACCCTGGAGTGGGAACTGGAGCAGGACTACCGAGATCTCTTCCACTCCATTGAGAAGATTCAGCAGGACAGCAAGGTGACAGATCCAGTTCCAGACCCATTCAGCTGGGAAGACATTGTTGATATTTTCTGGGAAGAACCCCAGGTGGCCGGTAGAGATGGGACTGAGGTCTCTCAACCGGTCCTGCAGGGAATTGGGAGCCCAGTCTCCATTCCCCAGCGGCAGTGTAAAGTGCAGGGAGAGGAGAGCAGCGTCCTCCCTCCCAGCGGCAGGCTGAGTTACAGGGGGCAGAGGTAGTTGTTCCTGCCCCCCAGCAGCAGAGTGATATGCCGGGAAGGCAGTGTAAAGTGCAGGGAGAGGAGAGCAGCGTCCTCCCTCCCCAGCGGCAGGCTGAGCTACAGGGGGCAGAGGTAGTTGTTCCTGCCCCCCAGCAGCAGCGTGATTTTTGGGGAATTGGGAGCCCAGTCTCCATTCCCCAGCGGCCGAGTGATGTGCCGGGAATTGGGAGCCCAGTCTCCATTCCCCAGCTGGAGATACAGCAGGGAATTGGGAGCCCAGTCTCCATTCCCCAGCGGCAGAGTGTCCTACCGGGAATAGAGAGCCCAGTCTCCTTTCCCCAGCAGCAGGACACTGTATTGGGAGCGGAGACAGTCGGTCTCCCTCCACAGAGGATGAAAGTATGTATGGGAGAGGAGCTTGCTACCACCTCTCCCCAGCGGCGGATCATTAATGGGCAGGGAATAGAGAGCTCAGTCTCCTTTCCCCAGCGGCAGAGTGTTCTATCGGGAGAGGAGCCTGTTACCCCCTCTCCCCAGCGACAGCTTAGAGTATCCAAAGGGGAGACAGTCGGTCTCCCCCTCCGGCAGCAGAACTGTGCAACAAAAGGGGAGACAGTCGGTCTCCAGCAGCAGAGCGGTGGATAAAGGGGAGACAGTCGGTAAAGGCGGAGAGACAGTCGGTCTCCCCCTCCAACAACCAGGCTTCAACCAGGCTACCCTCCCAGTAGCGCTGGCAACAGGGCAGAGTGCCGCTGGTCTCTGCCCACGCAGCAACCCACCCAGTCAGCGTACCCGTACCCAGCACAGCCGTGGTGAGGCACCTGGACATGGACAAGCTTCTCCTTTATCCAGGTGTAGTAACCATTTATTGTGGGTGGGCTGTGCTGTTGATTATGTTTTGTGGGTGGGCTGCTGGACTAACAAGGGCACTGACCGGCAGGAGGTCAGATACCCTGTTAGTCTGTTTGGAAAAGGGGAGAGATGTGACGAGACCAATCTCGCCACATTGCATTGGAGAAGCCTGGTTGCTCGCCTGCTGCCTTTGGACTATGGCCCCCTGTTAAAAGACATCTTTTTTACCTGCAGAAAAGCTTCATTCATGCTTGTCTGCCTGGGGTTCGGTAGATTTGTTTGAATGTGTTATACCCCAGATAGGAATCCCATGGAGCCCATTCGTATGAAACTGACTGTAAAGACTTTGGCTCCATGGCGATTAAACTGTATTCGTGTGGTCTGAGCGCCATTCGCTTAATAATGTGCGCTCAGACCTGAGCTATCTGGGGATATGTTAAATGTCTGTGTGTTTTGTGTAAAAGGTGACTTTATGTATTTTAAAGTGTTTTACTGTCTTTGTGTCACCATGTGCATAATGGAGTCTTGTCCCTGTCCTGGGAGATAATTGAATTACTTCTCACTTATCTCCAGGGCAGAGGAGAGGAAGCCAGGATGCATTGTGGTAAAAGGTATGTGTATTGGGTTACCTCTCAGGATAAGGGGGAGGGAATCTGTGGGTTGTAACTAATATGTTACTGGATATTTTATACCTCCCTGTGGACGGTCCTGTATTTGCAAGACTGTAATAAAAACCAGGCTGGGTGTGCCAGCACAACAGACCACTGCTTGACCCTCAACACGGAGCCTTGTCTCGTCTTTGGGGGGATTTACTGAATGCTGATAGAGACTGATTGCTAGGAGTGTAAGCCGCTTGGATGCTTTTCCTATTCGTCTGGTAGCAGCAATTCGTATGGTTCCTGTTCGTGTATTTGGAGTGCTATATTGGATGCCATTCGGGAGTTTGGAGCATTTACTTATTGGCGGTTCGTGTGTTTGGTGTTCTGCAGTAGCTGTGCCTGCATCTCCGAAAAGGGGGTCGATCGCCTAAACGGTTTTTACCCCTTGCGTGCAAAACGGTCTGTTACAATAACTTATACTTACTTATAACAATATACAAAACAAAATACATAGTGAGATAATGATTACATATTCAATCTCACAATATGGGTAATAAACTGAAAATCCCAGTGTGTAATAGCTGATGTATATCACTCCATCTCAGATGATCCATGATGGTAAACCCAACTTTAACTATAGGTAGAAAACAAACAAAAAAATGGATCTGCGCCAAGTATAAATTGAAATAAATATGGATGAATATATATATATATATATATATATATATATATATATATATGTCCTCATTGGCATTCAAATAAATTAGGTTTTGATTGAGGAAGGGAGTTCTCTTATTGGCATCTCATGTAAAATCTAAGCAGAATAGAAAAACCAATAGGGCAACCTGCAGTATGTTCAATATCTCAATAATGTGTTGAAAAAGAATACACTCACAAGGATAGAGCACCCAATCAGCTCTTAGATAAGGCTGTAAGAGGTATAATCCCCACTCAGGGATGAAACTAGAGTTTTTCTCTTTGAGTGTTCACAGTGGAAGAGGCATATGAAAAAATAAAAACAGGATATAGTACTCACTGTTTCAAACCAATAAAAGTGTATGAAAAAGTATGAAAATCACTCACAATTTTAGCAGCATCTTATGCTCAGTTTAGGTGGAATGATCCCCACCAAGAAGATATATGAGTAGATGTAGATTTTGTGATGGTCCCTGGCAAGGCTCCTTTAAGATATCCATCTTGAACTATAGCCACGTTACCTTTCACCCTTCAACAATCCACTTCCCAAAATAAAGTTTCATGTCAAAATAACCAGGACCAAAACTAAACCTAAAACCGTCTCTCTGCTAATTGATATGGATATGGTGTCTGTAACTCGTATATCCAATACAGTTCCTGTTGCTTCAGTAACTCCTCTTTTGAACCTCATATAAGCAGGCACAGTTATGTAGAGATACAGACACTCTTGAGAATAGCAACCAGGGAGATGCCAAAATGTTTGAGGAATTTTGTGACTTGTGTTCTGTACTGTTAGGCCTATGGAAATTGTGGTAATTACCATGGTATATGTGCCTAGCCTTTTTTGTCCATTTGTTCTATTTACTTTGTATACTATTGTGTGTTTTTATTCAGTTACTTTGAATAAAGTGTATATTTTTTTTTGTATTTATTGGAGTGTGCATCCTGATTTTTTGCATCATATGTTTATTGAAGGCAATCGGGGAAGCATCTAGGGAGGTTTGCACCTGACTGTAGAATGGTAGTTATAGTACTGTTAACCCTTCATGCGTTGTTGTTTTTGTTGTACTATTGGTTCCCATGTGCATGTTGAGGGATAATGTTGTTTCAAGACATAGGTGGCATTAGCAACAAAAAGGCAGAAACATGGGTTTTTACACACTAAGTGACTGTGTTATGGACAAAATACTTGAATGGATAAAATGTAAATTTTGCTCTGTACATGTGTGCCCATTCAGTAAAATGCTCCCCTTCCCCCTCTGTGTGCTTAATAACCATTTCCTCTGTAGACCCCTCTCATCCTGCTCCCCCCCCCTTCCCATCGAGCAAAGCCTCGTGTAACAAAATGGAGATTTGCTGTGTTAAAGGAGCTGCTTACCTTTCTATCCCCTCCCCTGCTTCCTTTGTTCAAGTAATGGCTCTCACCAGGACTTGCCATGTGTAATAAAATGGGTCTGGGATACAAAGAAAAGTCATGTGACGATGCTGGGGTCACTCCCAGTGGGATGGTATCAGGAAAGACCCTTTAGACTGTTAACCAATTGTTGAGTGTATACTTTGTGTTATATATGACTATGTAGGTGACGTATCTCTGCTTCATAAGGGGCTTCCCACCCCTCAGAATACAGATTCCTCAGGTTTTTCACCAACCAGAAACATGTCTCCGGTGTGAATTTCTTTAATCAATTTGGAAAGGAGTAGATAGACAGACAAATAATCAAACACTTGATTTGATCTAAAACAACTTATGCCATAATAGCAAGATACAGTGTGACCCAGAGTGTATTTGTGAACGACCAGACTACACTATACTGGCATGTTGAATATTTAGAAAAGAAGTTGGTAAATTATCAGTTGCATTCAGAGACGTTTGTTGAATAGGTCAAAAGGATGAAGCTTGGGGCTTGGGGCTTAATATCTAACTGAATTTTTGTAAGACAAGGAAGGAGTTTTCAACTAATAGGTATTAGATTTTGAACAAGTTCAGTTTGGACCTTATTGCATTGAGAATAGAAGGATTACAGCAGGATTTGATGGAAATTGAGAGTCATTTATCTGACACAAAGAAAAAACTGTTGGAAGTTGAGGAGAAGACTGTGGTGGATGATAAACATTTGGCTATTTCATCGAGGTTATCAAAACACAAGGAGGAGGGGTTGAGTATAAAATTAGATACATTTAGAAAATTTGAAGAATAAGGTATATCCTTTGAGAAGTACCTGTGAACAACGTAGTTATCAGGGTAAGAATAAAGTCACTACCAATACCAGTCTATTGGACCCCGAGGATACGTCTAGTGACTGAGTCTAGCAGTAATAACCTTCATTTATTATGAAGAACACAAGACTGGGACATGGTAGGAAGAAAAGAATGTCAATCCAGAAAACTATCAGCTGTTGGTACCGAGCAAGGGGTGGTACCCAGGGAGGACCAGACGCCAGCGAGACGCTGGTAATTATTATTTCAAGCAAGACACTGACCACTTTGCAAGTGAGCTTGTTGGAAAAGGGGTTTGGTTTTGTACTCACATGTTTTGGTGAATAAATTAACAGTGGATATTGAAACATTTTTTTTTCCTTCTGTTCATTTAAAAAGTTTTTTTTCAAATGCTGGAAGTGTAGATGTAAGAGTAAGTTTCTTCCTCCATTAACTACTGCGAGTATTGGACATTGACAAAACACATTGGGGGACAAGGAAGATATCTAATTTGAATAGGAGGGAATTGTTAATCCTTAGGAAGCTAAAGAAGGACAACATTATTTCTATCACACCAGCGGATAAAGTGGTGATGAATACCAGCAAATATGTTGCTGAGGTCAATCGACGACTTGCCAATGCGCACCACTATAGAATACTGGATGGTGATCCTACAGGTTAGCTACAGGAATGTATTAAGAAAATCAATGGACCAGCATTGGAGCATGGGTTAATTAAAAAGAAGGATTTTAACTTTTTGATTGTTGATAAACCTAAGATCCCACTTATTTATCAAATGCCCAAAATCCATAAGGATCTGATGGACCCACTAGGTCATCCTATTGTATATGGCTGTGAGTCAGTACTGCAACCTTTTATCTAAATTTGTCGATGTCTATATGCAACACCTCGTGTGTGGAATGTGATCCTTTGTACAGGATACAACAGATTTTATTTGTAAATTGGAGATGGTTAGTGATATTCCCATTGGCACCTGGTTGTACACAATAGACATCAACAGCCTATATGCATCTATCCCACATGAGGAGGGAATTGAGGCAGTGTTTGGGGCCATACAGGAGTTGGATGCTAGTGAAGATATAACGCTTTTATGGTTGAGCTTCTAACCTTGGTTCTCTACAGGAATTACTTTGCATTTGGTGACAAGTATTTCCTGCAGGTCCAAGGGACAGCTATGTGTCCAATGTGACCCCAACTTATGCCAATGTATTCATGGTGGCCTTTGAGGAAGCATTTATACACTCTGATAGAGCCTTTTTACAACATGTACCTGTTTGGTTCTGGTATGTAGATTCCTTTTTTTTCCATTTGAAGAGAGTGGGGGAGAACTCTTGCTGTTCAAGGACAAATGTAATTCTTGTTTTGTCACTAACTCTTTTTCATTGGATAAAAAATAATAAAATAGTGAGAGCACACTATACATGCAAAAAAACTATATTACCAATACTTCATTAGGTAAATAGCTGAAACATAAAAAGGGAGAGAAAAGAACATAGGGTAATATTGTTTACACTGTATGTAACAACCATATATAATTGGTTACACTCACGTGGTTCTGAGTCACTTATAAAAGCTGACTCAGACTAAGTGCTTTAATCGGAGAAGAAATCCTTAATGTTGGACACCTTGTGTTGATATGTAGATTAGAATTTAGTTGTCTCTGGTAATTTCTGGATATCTGGTTGAAATTATTCCAGGATACCTGATCTTAATAGATCTCTTTAAACTTTTATTTATTCCAGATAAAAAACAATTCTAAAATTCAATCAAATTCAATCACAAGTAAACTTAAGTCCATAAAAGTTACCACGACGCGTTTCGGCAAGAAAGCCTTTTTCAAGTGGTGTTACAAGTTCATCTCCGAGTTGTCCCTTTATACTGTGTAACGTTCGCGCTCTTTCCCGCGCTCTCCATCTGCCTTTACTTCCGCTTTCGTCATCTAACATCGACGGACGTGCCCCGCACATCATGACGTCATCCCGGCATTCTATACCGGAAGTATTCTCGCAGCCATCTTTGTTCCTCTGATTGTTCATATTTGCCAGTTCTCTCTGGCACCATCACGGAAAAAATGTATATCTTGCATAAAATCATTAATCTAAACAAATTGTGTACCCTTATCCATAACAATAAAATAGGAAACCTAAATATAAAATGAATGAGAGGAAATAGTCATTAACAGCACATTTGAATATTAAGACTTATAAATATTAAAAAAAAAAAAATTAATAAAAATCTAAACACATAAAAATATACAAATAAAATATCTAAATTACAAATATAACTTATATAAGTAAGGGGAATTTTCTAAAGGAAGGGAATGGGTTTAAAAAATATTCCTAAACTATCATATAAATATGTATTAACCTCAAAATCTATATTAAGACCACATGGAGACAAAGTCTCCATATTAAAAATCCATTTCATTTCAGTTTTATTAAGGAGGTTATCTATATTACCTCCCCTCCATTAATAAAACTGAAATGAAATGGATTTTTAATATGGAGACTTTGTCTCCATGTGGTCTTAATATAGATTTTGAGGTTAATACATATTTATAAGATAGTTTAGGAATATTTTTTAAACCCATTCCCTTCCTTTAGAAAATTCCCCTTACTTATATAAGTTATATTTGTAATTTAGATATTTTATTTGTATATTTTTATGTGTTTAGATTTTTATTAATTTTTTTTTTTTTAATATTTATAAGTCTTAATATTCAAATGTGCTGTTAATGACTATTTCCTCTCATTCATTTTATATTTAGGTTTCCTATTTTATTGTTATGGATAAGGGTACACAATTTGTTTAGATTAATGATTTTATGCAAGATATACATTTTTTCCGTGATGGTGCCAGAGAGAACTGGCAAATATGAACAATCAGAGGAACAAAGATGGCTGCGAGAATACTTCCGGTATAGAATGCCGGGATGACGTCATGATGTGCGGGGCACGTCCGTCGATGTTAGATGACGAAAGCGGAAGTAAAGGCAGATGGAGAGCGCGGGAAAGAGCGCGAACGTTACACAGTATAAAGGGACAACTCGGAGATGAACTTGTAACACCACTTGAAAAAGGCTTTCTTGCCGAAACGCGTCGTGGTAACTTTTATGGACTTAAGTTTACTTGTGATTGAATTTGATTGAATTTTAGAATTGTTTTTTATCTGGAATAAATAAAAGTTTAAAGAGATCTATTAAGATCAGGTATCCTGGAATAATTTCAACCAGATATCCAGAAATTACCAGAGACAACTAAATTCTAATCTACATATCAACACAAGGTGTCCAACATTAAGGATTTCTTCTCCGATTAAAGCCCTTAGTCTGAGTCAGCTTTTATAAGTGACTCAGAACCACGTGAGTGTAACCAATTATATATGGTTGTTACATACAGTGTAAACAATATTACCCTATGTTCTTTTCTCTCCCTTTTTATGTTTCAGCTATTTACCTAATGAAGTATTGGTAATATAGTTTTTTTGCATGTATAGTGTGCTCTCACTATTTTATTATTTTTTATGCACTTTGATTCTGTGTGGTTGAGTTATTCACACTTAGTGATAGTAGCACCACTTATTACTGTTTTTCCCATACCTTTTATATTATATTGTCTTTTTCATTGGAGTTTGACCCTAACAGTATGCGCTTTCATGACTTTTGATTCAGGTAACTGAAGGACATTTGTCCTTTGATCTTTATCAGAAGCCAACTGATCCTATCTCATATTTTATAGGCCTCCCTGAATGGCACGCCACAACGGACTTACACCACCACTACTATACACTTGATATGCTTTCAGGAGAGTATGAATTAGCTTAACATACCAACGGGCTATAGTCACATAACCTTAGGATTTCAGGATAGTGCAAACGAACATAGTATCTTCACTACAAGGGGTTCGTTACAACTTCTTAGTAGGTTAACTGCGAAACCTATGTTGTAATTAGCCAACTTGGCAGGCGCTCAGCACCTGAGCCTCTTGCCCCATTCACAGTTTTTTCCTTTATTATTCATTGAATGATAAGGGATCTGACTGTTCCTTTCAAACCCATTGCTTTTCCTAAGGGTGGTGATAGTAGTAATGGAGGAGGTAGCTCTGTTTATAGGTTGTGACAACCGAGCAAATTCTAGTACTGTCCGTCCTAGTGTGTTCTTGTTCTGCTTCTTCCCTCAGTTATACAGATTTGTGGTGTCTTTGGAGATTTTGTTTCATACCAGTTTCGTCCAATGTATCCATACATGGAAGAGATACATTGACGACATTCTCATCAGCTGGACAGGCTCTAGTAAGGATTTCCTTGCATATGTAAAACAACTAAACAATATGAATTAAACCTAAGATTCACTGCCGAGGTGGGAAATCCTTCTCTTAATTTCCTTGATTTAACACTGACTCCAGAGACTTATGGAAAAATGTAACAAACCTGTTCAGAAAAAACACTGCAACAAACAGTTTATTGAATTGGGGAAGTTTCCACCCAACCCAACAAAAAAGGGGTATTCCCACAGGGCAGTACCATAGACTCAGGAGAAATTGCTCGGACCTTGATCCTGATGAAAGTCTTATATGACTGAAACGTTGATCACTTGATGTTTTAAACCGTTTTTTCATTAAACTTTGGACTTTTAAACCGTGAGTGCAGCCATACATTTGGATTTTCTTATATACATATATATATATACACTCAGCTTTTACCTTAATGTTTTGTTTTTGAATCATGATATTTACCAGCATCATATAACCTGCAGCACCAACTATTCGGAGGTCTGCGCTTTACATTGACTGGCAATGAACTTTGTATAACCAATCATTCATATTATTGTCTACCATAGTTATCATGTATGACTTTATCCTCTGAATAATGGGACTTCACAAGCCTAATATCATGGTATTACAATGTACATTTTGTGCATTGTAACTTGAAGCACTAATCACCATAGGTGTCTCTGTTTTACAGTGTTAAGAATTAATTCTGTACAATTCACAATTATTATAATTATTATACATCTGGGATACTGTAGAGGTCTTTATCTGGAGACAGATAACAGAAATAACGTGCATCTTATCACCACTAGAATTTCATGACATGAAAATTACTTTTTAGTCCCACCCTCTCTCCACTCCCCTAATGAGTCAAGTTGACATTGAGACAGAGGGATGTGCTGGCACAGAGATTATACTAATGGAGAGGAGAAACCAATGCCTTAATTCAAATGCACACCCTAGAATCTATCTCCAGTAAGTGTTAATCTGGAAAGGGCGGTATGTTGGAGTAGGTAGGTCTATTTGGAGGACAATAATGACAGAATCACGCCCTCTTCCCCGCCCACTATAACGTGTGTCCATCTTATGGACATGTGGGTATGACAGAAAGTGACAGCATACTCTGATGCTCGCCTTCAAGATTTCTCGAGGGCTGCACCGTTCCTGTGGAACTCTCTTCCCTCCTCCGTTAGATGCTCACCCAGTCTCCACTCCTTCAAAAAATCGTTAAAAACCCACTTCTTCATAAAAGCTTATCAATTAAACTCCTGACTGATTCCTCTTCTGCAACTGTCACTAGTCTAATACTATCCTTACCTTTTTGTGTCATTTTACCCCACTCCCTCTAGCATGTAAGCTAATTGAGCAGGGCCCTCAACCCCTCTGTTCCTGTGTGTCCAACTTGTCTGGTTACAACTACATGTCTGTTCGTCCACCCATTGTAAAGCGCTGCAGAATTTGACGACGCTCTATAAATATCATAATAATAATAATTAACTAGCTTATAATCAATTCCATTAATCTGTCCAATTAAAATGATAGATCTCCCTTCCTGGTCTATTTTTTCATATTGACACTGAAAGTGCACTTCTCTGGAAAAAAGTATCGCTACCCCACATTTCTTTTTCTCTTCCAATGAGGCAGAATACACTAATGGGAACTTTTTAAATTTCCATAGCTGCTTATGTTTCCTAAGCCAGTGTGTTTCCTGCACAAAGAACACTTGTGATTTTTCGCTCATTAAAGTATTATATAGAAAGCCCCTTTTGCCAAGCAAATTAAGACCCTGGGCATGTATCTAAATTAACCTAAGCATTTCTTCATATCGTCCCTAATAACATACTAACATAACATACATCTTATCATTCCTGACTAACATATTTCTTTAGGGCCAAACTGTCCTCAAGTCCTGAGTACCAATTAATACCAATATGGATGGGAATACTCCCATCCAAAAGTCAGAAAAAAGAAAAGAGAAAAAAAAAAGAAAAACTAGATGACCCGAGAGTATGAGATAAACATAAAAAAGAGAGGTCAAACCACGTGGTCTATTGCATAGCATATAACCCAATTTAAAATTTGAGCTAAAGCTTTGTCTATTCCGATCTTACAAGAGTTTGTTTACGTATATTAACCTGCTACGTCCTTGTTGTTATTATTATTCAAGTTCTAATGCATAGAAGGGAGATCTGGGGGAATATTTCCTTAAGTGATAATGTCTAGTGTCATTTAAATAGATTATATTTTATAATGACAGGAATCTTATAAGTGCCTTACTTTATAAAATTAAACACTAATATTAACAATTATGTGCTTTCTGTGACTTTAAATGTTTTTTAACCATGACTTTGTTCAATTACTCACGTGTCTATTTGTAATATCATGTACTGTGAGTTTAGATAATCTTTAACCATAAATTTGTTCAGTTACTCACTTGTCTATTAGTGTAACATTATCTATACATTTAACTCTTATACTGAAACTTAAAAATATTTGTGTGACTTAATCAAAATCTTTAATACCTATGCATTCTATTATATTCCACTTTAACATTATCTATGTATACCTATGTTCTTGGCTGTGGAATGTGTGCCAGCTGTTCTCATACATAATTCTTAAAGCAGATGGAAATCCCCATTTGAATTTTAAATCTTGTTGCTTAATAATTGGAAAAATGGGAGTAAAAGATCTTCTCTTAGTATGTGTATGATATGAGACATCCTGCAATATTTGCAAGTCCTTAAATTTATCTTCCACTGAATGTCTTGCTCTAAACACTTTTATGACTTTCCATTTAAATTCGTAAGAGTGAAAAGCGACTATGACATCACCTTGATTTTGTTCCGATGCTAATCTGCTACGTGACAGTCTATGACATCAGTCCATCTTCTGTTCATGATTATCATTAGATAAATTCAAGCATCTGAAAAAATCATATAGGAAGTCCTTTAATTTATTATCTTAGATGTCTTCTGGGATGTTCCGGAATCTTATATTTGCTCTCCTTTACCTATCTTCCAGGTCACCTATTTTTTCTTCCAGCTGAGCTACTTTAGATTCAATTGTATTCTGTTTTCCATGCATATCTTGGAACTACTTTCTTCTTTGTTCATTCTTTTCCATATTCTGGAATCTCTGGTTTAGAGACAAAAATCTACATTTTCGAGGGGCGTGGCTAGCCGGGAAGCCTGATGGACGTGTGCTGATTCAGCTCCTCCGGACCCGGGCACGATCCGCCGCCATCGGAGAAACACAAACGAAATGGGCAATCCCAAGAGGCAAACACAGGTACAGGGGCAACAGGGGAGAACCCCCATACCTAAATCGGGCTCCCTCACCCGTTACTTCAAAGATAATATCGATCAGGAGATGGAGGCCGCGACCTCCAAGATGGCGGATGCCGATCCCATAGAGGAAATGCAGCCACAAAGCCCCCACATGTCTGATTACTCACTAAAATCATTAGATAACAGTGGGGATTTAGACATAAAAGAAATGCTGAGGAATCTCCCATCCAAAGCTGACCTCCAGACTATGATGGGGAAATTAGAGGCAACCCTCCACACAAAATTAGCAGAAATGGGCACCGAAATTCAACAAATGAATTTAAAGGTCACTGACCTAGAAGAGGAGAAAGATGTAATGCAAGCACAAATCTTAAATATCTCATCTACCTTAGAATCACATATCCATTTTATGTCTGCCACCCAAAGACATATAGATGATCTAGATAACCGCGGGAGAAGAAATAACCTACGCATAAGGGGGATCCCAGAGGCCCAAAATGAAGATTTAACAGCCATTTTAACAGAGCTCTTTACTCTTGTAATAGGGGACTCTGGCACCAGCCAAATGCTCATAGACAGGGCTCATCGCTCACTCCGACCTAAGGGGCTACCGCAAGATTCCCTGTGTTGGACACCCCAACTCGGAAAAGAGACTGCTATCTCACTCGCAGGTCGTATACTCAAAGACAATGTAGATAATGAACTGAGCTTCTCACGTCTAATGACACACGTAGCATGGTTTTACTCATGTTTCATATAACTGTCTATTTCCTATGCTGAGAGCTGTCAGGTCAAGCCTAGCACTTAAGCGATGACTCCGGTATGCTCCTTGTCCAGGGATCCTAAAAGCGATTACTGCATATTCTGATATCAGAAGTAACCCTGAGACATAACCATAGGGCTGTCATTTGTAGCCAGGGTTATCCACCAAAGATAGATCAGGTCTAACCACAGTTAACCCCAAAGGAACTAAGATATCTGGACACAAGGGACGGCCCAGGACTTAGAGTTTAGATTAGACAGCAATTAGACAGCAATTAGAAAGGAACTCTCTACTAGTTAAATAACAAAAAAAAAATAATACAATTTTTGTGTATATAGTTAACTAAGTAACCACCACGCAAGGATAAGGCTGAGATATAACATAAACACGAAAGGAGGGCTCCTGGGCAGCTGGTACACCCCCCTCAAACTGGAATCGGCCGGGTTTTACTCCCCCTTACCTACATGCCGTTTACGCCCTTAGATATAGGTCTCCTGACCTTCTCTCCTAAAGGTAGACTAAGTGAATAGGATCAATAAGTCCCGGGTCCTAGGTAAATACCCGAAGCACTCAACCCCATTCTACGTACTGTACTGTCTCCAGAGACGAGACAGGACTATATTCCCCTTAAGGGAAATGTCTTACTCGCTCCCCTGGGTGCGAACATCTACACGTCACCCATAATAGTATTGAACAATACGGGGTTTACTCCCCTAGATAGACATCACACAAATCACGTAGACACATACCTTGTAATAATATAATCCTCTCGAGTGGAAGTCTAGGACTAATACAATACTACTGATATAGCAAGTCAAGGGAATACTCTAGTTGCATTGTTACACTTACCTTGTTATTGACACTGTTTTGTACTTTTAATTTAACTTATATCTTGAATTGTATATGCATTAAGGATTAAGTGATACCAGACGAGGGACCTAAACCGAACGCTTAAACCGAGCACGGACTCCTCTAAGACTAAGACCGGACTGCAACTGGAACGACTGGGCTAGCTGCGCAACCGGGCGCCCAGGGTGGGTCTGGGAGAACCCCCACTCTCTCTGCTGACACGTCCCTATGGTGTCAATGCCCGCAAATAGCGAAATTCTGGAACAGAATTCACACGGTCATTCTCAGCATTTTTCAGGCTAACTTTCCCTTAGCGCCAGACCAATACATCTTTCTCTTACCCCCCCCAGGGCCTTTCAAAACTACATACAGCACTATTCTATCATCTGGCCATGGCTGCGGCGCAACTGGTTCCTAAATATTGGAAGCAGCCTACCACTCCCTCGCTTAGGGAATGGATCCAAAGGGTGGAGGACACGAAACAATTAGAAGGAACAGTGCAAGCTAAAATAGGGAACTATGGGAAATACACCAAAACTTGGGCTCCGTGGAATGCGTTCATAACACTAGAGCCACAATAGACAATACACCGTAATCTCCCCATGACAGGGGATGGGAGGTAGGGGGAAGGGGGTATCGGGAGGGACCGAGGACTGACCTGGACGAATTTAGGTGACTACTTAGGAGTGGCAAGGGGGATGTCCCAGGACTCATTGACACTGAATACGACGCTATCGGATTGCAGTGAAGCTGGGGAGGTGAAAGAAATCTGAAGCCCCCTTAAGGCTACACTAATAAAACTAAACGCCCTATAGAATCGAGAAACACTCCACTGCTATTACCTAGGCCCATACTGAAGACCACGGTGTTCTGACATCTACGCCTTAACTTCGGTCAGCCTATCCAACCTGACTCCCAGACGCCCATACCTCCATGGCCCAACGTCCTGTGTCTCACTATGTGACTATTTTGTATCGTATAATACTATCAACTACCGAAGTTAAACTCCTACTGTTGCTTCTACTTTGTTTATTGTACCACACATTGCCTACAATTTATTTGATCACTGTAACTTTGTTAATCCTGCATAACATAGATGTACTGTTAAGACATATGTCGGAGTCAATATATGCTGTATATACGCTTCAAAAAAAAAAAAAAAGTCCCTCTAACACACTAAAGTCGACAACTACTTCCAAATGCCTACTGTAACTAGTGATTAATATCATACCTTCCATTATAACTGTGTACTACCTATGCAACTTGCTGTACTTTATGTTACCGTATGTTATTATTACATGATAACACTTTGCATTATATCAATGCTGAGTAAAAATGACATCTAACTATGTTGTATGCTATAAACACTTTGTTTGTAAAAAGAGAAAACAATAAAAATTCAAATATAAAAAAAAAAAAAAATCTACACTTTCAGATCAGTAAATGTTTCATTTATTTCACTTCTAACCTCTTTGAGCAGAATATCGTGACATTCTTTTAAAAAACTTGGAGAAACAGTATCATTATCCACTGCAGGAGGCTGTGAACACTGAGCTAGTATCTGAGATATATCTGTACTGCTTTTTTCCGCTATATCAGGATCTTAAATAGAAAAAAATATGAGAGAAGTTTTTCGTTTTTGGCCTTTCCTCTCATTTTTAGGATTAGTCTTATTTTCTTGCAGTCTCTTTAATGCCATTATTTATTTGTTTATTTACACAGGTTTTTTTTTGTTTTTTTTCTGTCTGTTGGCAGATTACAGATGCAGCTCTTAATCCTTGTTAATAATATATCAGCTTGGTATGTAAGTTATACCCTTGACAGTCACACCACTTTCACTTATTTATTTTTGTCTGCTTCCAGTAAGCTTAATAAATTAGACTTTTGCCCAACAGAGATTAATGTAATAAGTAGTTTTATATCCGTGTACCACTGTACTTAAGTTTCTCCACAGGAACTGGCAATGCATATCTTGAGAAAGGCGCCACAATGTCCCAATAAGATACATCTATAAATCTATTAAGCTTCACTCAGCCTCTCAGAATTTGTTCAGTCTTTGAGTTCTCCTTTTCCCAGCTACAAGCCGCGACTTCCCATTTCTCCGGGTAGCCGACTCAGCGTTACAGCATGCCTCATGGGTCTACCCTCCTCCCCTGGCTGCCTTACTTCCGGCTTCGAGCGCTCCCCTCCCCTCATGGCATGCACGGGTTATGCCATTCATGCCTTCCTCCCCAAGCTAATATGTTTGTACATATATATATATATATATATATATATATAAAATGCAACTTAAAGAAGTAGTGAATCAGCCATGGCATATCATGGAATCAAATAGAGCAGAGAAAAACAAATCTGGCATCTTTTATATGGTGTGATATAGGTAAATCAAAATATGTATTACCAGAGAATAATTCTTTGGTCATGCAACAAACAATGATCGAATGGTATACAATTTTTTTTTTATATTTCAAATAAAATTTACAAAGGTGCCAATATCAGAACCCTCAAATTGGTTATGCCTGATATTAACCTAAGGAACTGAGAAAGACAGAATACTTTAGTAGTAAGAGATTTGTATGAGGGACACATTATACTATCCTTTGAAGAGCTGAAAATAAAGTTACCTTTACCAAATAAGGAACTGTTTAATTATATGCGCATACATAGGTTTTTTTAGAGAATGGAATGGTTAAGATATATGTGAAAACAAAAGAGCTAGTTAAAAATGAGACAGTTATGGAGAACCCCCCTGCCACTCTTTTAAAAAAAGGGGAACGGGATTGCAGTAAAAACATTCAGTTTTAAGAGTAAGGATCTGCTTTCATGAAATTAAATAAATCAGTCCCTTGTTAAAATATCTTAGAAACACAGATTAAAATAATTTATATATGGTATTTAGTGCCGAATAGATTAATAAAGATTAATACAGACTAATACCATCTTATGTTGGAAATGTTTTGAATCAGAGGGCAACATGGAACATATTTGGTGGAGTTGCCCCAGGATTATGTATTTATGGAAGTATGCTTTTGACTTAATTGATGATGTGATAGGTAAAATTTTAGATAGAAAATCAGAGGTGGCACTTTTACATCTCAACTGGCATCGTTTTCATAAATCAGATGCTTCCTTAGCGATACATTGTTTCATGGAAGTCAAAGTCCTTATAGCTAGACGTTGGAAACAAATCGATATCCCATCTAAAGAATCAACTATTATTCCAACTCGAAATGGAGATGGGGATTAATATACCAAACCCAAGAGCTAAACATAACCAAATAGTTAAATATGATTTCATTAAATTGATTAAGAGGTATCAGAACAGACCAACTTCCGGGCGGGAATGAGCTTTTCAACCTCTAAATTTTCTATAAAGAAACTAAATCAGGTGATGTGCTCCTCAGTCTTGACGTCTAAGAAGGGGATGAATAATTTACAGCATAATCATAAATTTGCGTGTTAGACATAACCCCTCCGTTTGTATATATGTATGTAAATGTGGTGTCCAGTATGTATTTATACTTGTAGTATGTCATGCTTGTCATATATTTATTTATTTGGAAAATAAAGATTATTAAACAAAAAAAAAATCAGAATTTACGATTGTCCTGAATTTGGCTGAACTGCAGTTCAGCCTGAAATTAATCTCTAAGTCTAAAAAAATAGAATGAAACCTAAAAATAAAAAAGGTAAGAACATTATTAAAGAATTTTCAGCAGCTTTTACTCCAAAGCAAATACAAGTTTCATTAGTTGTAACAGAAGAGCAGTTGTTTTCCATATCCCTGAGATAGCTGATCTGTCCACATATTGAAATTACCAAGCATTATAGCACATGAATTAGGTCACAACCACAAAGTAAAAAATAAATGAAACTGAATGTGAGGTTAATCAACTGAAAAAAAGTATCACATAGTTATTTCAAACCTCATGCTGTGTTTGTAATTATCCCTGATTTTATCATTATAGATCTCTTGCAGCTCATTATTTTAAGTCAACAA